GATGGATTTAATGAATAACAACCAGAGCAATAACAATGTGGTGTTTATTCCGGTGTGGCGGTCTCAGCTGTCTCCCGGTCTCAGCGGTCCCCCTTACCAAATATGGTAAAAATACGTCATGCCATCTCTGCGCACAACAACGGGAAAGTCGTCCGTTTAAGTGGCGTGCTGAGCAGTGCAGTCCACGCATGCTTCACGTTGTACGTGACGTTACTGTACATAGGCCTACACCAAAGATTATAGCACCGCTCATAGTACTGTGCGAGTTAGTCATGCGGACATCTCAGCACGGAAGACCAACGAGACCGTGCTTGTGTCGCGCTGAAATGTCTGGCTACGTCAGGGGGGACCGCTGAGACCAGAAGATAGCTGAGACCGCCACACCAGCCCGTATAAAATACAGACCAAAAAAATGGAACAAAAAATCACAACAATGCAAAGAACAAAAGGAGAACAATACACATACTGACAGCAAATTGGGAAAGAAACGGGGCAAAAAATGTAGCAAAGCACTGCCGGGAAACACGAGTGCTACTCCATTTGGGCTCGTACCTTGGATGAGATGAGGTTGAGGCGTGGCATGGTCATCGTGTGAACGAGGTTGCCATTCACAACGAGGCGAATCTCCACGGAGTCGTGTGTGAACGCCAGAATGTAAGGGAAGGCACAAACTATAGCAGGGGAGAAAATAAATATAACCATACACTGCCAACTTTCTACGTCCGAGACAGTGAAAAAAAAACACGTGGACGCAGGCTTTTATTAATTACGTAAACAACGACCTTAGTTGACATGCGCAGCCTTTATGTCTATCACCCATGCAAAAGAGGGGTACATTTTGCGATTCATGGCTAATAGTCACCGTAAGTAATACTTGACACACTATTGAGTGCAAGGGCTATCAAGATGATAGAACATAACTCAATTTTACACTCAACTAGAATACCTGCAGCATATTCTCAACTTTGAAAAGATAGATAACCCATCCTACACTTGCCCGGTACTTGGCCGGTTGTCATAGTATTTTACTGACCGGTGACAGATGAATGAATTTAAGTTCTTGACGTATTTTACCGATGGCTTTAGGTGCGGAGTTCCAATGGATGTCAAAATCTGACGAATTCTCGCCTGAAAGCTTCTTAAATTGGGACACATCTGACAGAATGCAGAAAAAAGTCAAGTGAGTGATAATTATAAATAAAAACAGCTAATTTATCAACCAGAAAAACAAGTCAGTTCTCTAGCAGAAAAGCCAGTTTTCTAACAGCAACTTTCGAATTCTGGTGAATTTCCTTGATCTGAACAGGGAGTAGGTCGTAATGCTAACGTGTCTTTCTGTTTTATTAGAATCAGCTGCATGGTTTAGAGTGTCAATGATCGCTCATTCCCTCCCAGTCGATGATTAAAACAGGGTTTCAACAGTATTATCGTCCACATTTCTTGCCTCTTGCAGCCAATTGAACCCAATTATCAAGATGTATTTTTTTGAACCCAATTGCCGTATAAAGATATGTATTTCCTATTTGTTTGAACCTTGATAATTGCTCCCCCTTGATGAAGAGGTTCATGTCTTTTTAAACCGGATACATTTCCCTTGGCCTCCCGACTATGAAACCAACCTGAATACATTAAATGTCTGTTTAATATAGTCAGGACAAATCGGCCGTAGGCCAGTTACGCATACAGACGAGCTTGCATGAGAGACTGTACAAACTTACGATTGTAAGACAAGAGAAGTTCGGGTTCCTCATCTTCGTATATATCCAAGGTAGACACGAGGTTCACCTGCTGCAAATCAATTATCACCAGTGGCCAATGTTAAATCATTAAAGGGGTAACCATCAGAGAATTTCATATGAACAGAAAAACCGGCAGTAAGGCGGGACATGAACTCACTTTGCTGGTCTCAACGAGATGAAGACGGAATGTGTCTCCATTCTTCTCGTTGACCAGGTCAAACTGGTTCCTGAAGGCAACGCATATCTGGTTATCTTCCTTCCCGCCGTCTACCAGCGTCATGAGAGTGGGCACCTCCGAGGCAACAAGCTCCTATATGACAATGCAAAGGGGGGAGCAGGTCAGACACACTCGACGGCTGGGACATGGCACGAGAGATGAGAGGACTTGGACTTCTAAGGAATCTCTTGAGTGAGTTAGGAAAGGATAATTACGACAGTAATATAGACAAATCTATCTTCAGAGCGATAACAAAGTTACTTTTCATCAGAACCGACGATTAAATTACACATCCTGGAATGATTTGTTATTCTACTGCACATTTTCCACACTTCTTCTTTAGTACATCGACCAGGAAATTAATAAACAAACCCTGATTTTATTATCTTGATTATGCGCTACACTCATGCGTGCTGAGCTTTAAGTCTCCAATCTAATTATTCGCGTACCCTGACGAACGTGAAGCCTTCTACCGGGTCGGTGTCGGCCGCTCCGCACCATGCCGTCCATGCAGCGCTGTGCTTCCACGCCATCACCAACAACTTCTTAGCAACGGCTACCACCATGCGTAAGTGGCTTCCTCCAGGACGACTCAAGGCGTACAGCTGACAACCTGCATGGAATAGGAGAAGGAACATGATTCCTGGCATCTCAGCTTCCTTCAATATTGGGAGTATGCATGTCGATGCTGTCACGTAAGAGCGCTTCATACAGTCATCGCTTATGCAATCACAGGTACTCCGTTGAACCTCTTAGTGCAGAGAGGCAAGATCATAATCATGACTAGCAAGCAAACCGAAGGCCGACACGCCTCTCCCCATTGCTGCCTGTCAAACACCAACAGTCATTGATGTGTCTATGGAGCCCAGAGCTCATCAGGCCAAGATAACGAAATACATTACTAGCTACCAAATTTGAATCCTAAATTCTACAACAGCGAGCTCCAACCCTCACCACTTGGCCAAATGTCTTTGTAACAGGGTGCCGCTCAGGTGAGTTACTCCTGGGGGATGCCTTTTTCTCCAAACCCATACAAAATGAGTGTGTCAAATGAGACATCAACACAGTCTGACAGTCTCGCTTTTAAGGCTAATGTAATATACTAATTCTGTGGCCCCATGAAACTGATATGCCACACAGACATGAAACTGAGAAAAATCTAGTTTAAGTTGTTGCTTCTTGGAATTTTGTGTTTGGTCAGAATAATACCGACCTCTATATTTCATAAAATGGACCCCTAGCTGTTGATATTTTTAGCAAGTAAAGATATGATATCACTCTACACATTCACGCATCTAACTCAAAAAGTTTGAAAATGTGGCGTATCAGGTTCATGCATAGGGCCACAGAATTTACCTTTCGTTCTTTCCAATTTGTGATCTTTGCAATCATTCTTGGTTCGTACCACTAGCTCGTTCGGTTCGCCTTCAAAGTCAGTCAGACGAAACACGTATACCCTGCTCTCCTTCCCTGAAGTAGATCACGAAATCGGGAGATTCCATCAGCAAGAAACAAAATCGAATCATTCACGATTACGATCATGTCAACATTTGCGATATCAACCAAGATTACTTTCTATAGATATTGAAATTTTGTTCTTGGGGTTTGGAAAGGCTGAGCCAATCACTCTTTCGATGGAATTCTGTTCATCAGAAAAATGTAGGGGAACCTCATTTAATATAAAAACCGCAAGATTTAAAAAAATAAGTCAAGATTGAAATGCTTCGACACAAAAACTTTGAATTTTTGACCTTTCTAAGAAACATGCAAACTTTAATTTGTATATTTTTTTGGGAGGGGCGGTTTACGGGCGGGTTGGTGCTTCTGGAGTTTTCACCACGTTTATATACCCAATCACTAGCTCCCTACCTTTATCAGCTCTGAAAATGAGTAAATCGTGAGCCTCGACGACACTCAACTGCTTGACAGACACTGTCCGGTCAAAGAGCATGCGTGGAGGAAGACCCTCTGTCACGAACAATAAAAATTGGCAAACAATGCTAGGTAATCACAGCTCACTGACGAACGATAATCAGTAAATTCCTGAAACTTCATCTGTTAGCGATGTAACAAACAAGGTCAATCCAGACAGTTCTCCCTGTTAAGACTTCAGAATGAAACCTTCTTGATTAAAGTGTATAAAACGAAACATCCTACATAGCAGTTTGTATCGCTACATTGTAACGTTAATCTCTGAAATGAGGATACTTTTTCCCTTGCAACTGATTGAGTAAATTGTAACGGAGGCTCACCTTCAATGCAGAATATTCCAACCTCGGTGCCGACGATAAGCCGATCGCCTTGAAAAAGGTTAACAGACAAGTCCCATTTTTAATCATGCTGTCGAGTCCAAAGTCCGCTTTCTTTTTTCTGAGGTACATGGTCATCTCATTTTCCATGCCATGGAGGTTTGTGTTATGAAGAAAATGAAAACTCACCATGTTACAGTGCAATAAACGAAGTACCCGCTTGGAGGTTTGTCTTATAAATTACCCTTGCAAATAAGTCAGTCTACGGTGTCTCCGCTTCTGGACTCGTAGATCTATAACAACTGATTTTTATTTACATTGTATATACGAACTAATAAACGTGTCTTTCCACGGGAAGTAGTTGACGTGAAGAGCAAACTGCATCTACTCAGTTCCTATCCCTGCATGCAGAAACAAGTTAGACCTAAAAGAATGGCTGCTAATGAAAGTTCTAGACAAGAACACGAGGCGTCTTATTGTAGCTTTGCACAACGAAGGACTAGGGTGAACTCGTAGTTTTATACTACTGTGCTGAAATGAAGTGCCATGCCTAGTCTATTGAATTCAAAACAGTGGGGTATTTCACTGACTTTGAAAGAGTCAGTGCGGGAATATATGCATTGGGGTTAAAAGCACCTGACGTAGGAATTCACTACAACCCGCCTTGTTTACAAAGATGTTTGGGGAGAAGAATAAAATTCCACTTACCCCAAGAATCTCCACACTGCACTTCGTGTGCGAAGTCATTGTGAATGCACTGCGGCTCCCAAGGCTGTTGGCAAGTAAACAGCATAAATTGAAACGTTCATTTAGGCCGTAGTAAAATGTCGTTGTTAAGTAACGTACTTTGGGAACTCTAAATGAGTACAGGTATATCATATTGTTTATAAACAGTAAAACCTAAAAACAGTGAACCTAGAGACAGATAAAAACAGATGTAAACAAGTTTAGCCGTACAGTTTGCCATTACAATTAAGCCAGTGTTAGTAGAAAATGGGCAGAGGACTATAATCTTCAATATTGATTCAGTATTTGGTTAGGATGAAAGAGAAAAAAGTTGTCCTGAGTCGTCAGAAAGTAGATCCTCAGATAATCTTCCTACTCAGTAATCCTTCTCACCTCTCTTTTCAGGAGACTTGTTGTCGCTAGGCTCGTTGGGGCATCTCCTTTGACGATTGTCTTCAGTTTCAACAGCTAGGAGGGAAACAAACCAGTAACACGAGAACATTTTCTAACGATACCAAGAAAACCTAACAAATCTTGTCAATTGAAAGCACATCAAGCTCCATGTCAGCCGGAAAATACAAACAGCTGCTCGTTCTTGTATTACTCACTGTGTATTACTGTTTTTTTACATCTAGAATGTGATTCCCCGAGCAGGTGGATTTTACCGTATTCCTCGTTTAGAGCAATAAAAACTGACCAGTAGGCTCGTGGAGGGTTGAAGTCTACCCTTACAGAAAGAGACACTAAACTGGCCAGTGGGATATATTTTGACATCTGGCTAAAAATTCCAAAGGATTTTTGCGCTGGTTTTTACCTGACCGACTCGAACAAATTCCACTTGTCTAGCCTCTTCCTTCTTGCTCCTCCAACCCCACACAGGCTCGGGGATGACGTCACTTAAGGATCGCTTGTTCAGCATGTTCTAAAAGGAAGCAAATAGCAAATGCGAGCAATTAATGTAAATCATCTTGGGATTTCCTTTAAAGTAATGCAGTGAAGAAAAGGCCTTATGTATCACGTGCCCCATGACTTCGTATTGTCATCTGATGCGTGACGTCATGATTACTTGTCTGAGCATGTGTAACCCCGTTCCGTAAGTCCACGAGCAGTATTACAGGCCAGTGTCTCCCACAATTTCCAAACCTGCCTTGAGTGCAAGATCCAATGGATGCCATTTGAGAATTTACACCACAGAATTTTGAAATAAAAATTGTCACATCAAATCGGATCAATGTATAGAGTAGCTAAAATCTTCAGACATATAAATCGAAGAGGCCTGATATAATAAAAACAACAATGGGTTGTCGTTTTGGCGTTGAGAAGCCGTGAACGTATGCACAGCAAAGTTTTCGCTCATTTATACTCCTTCATGGGGGGTATTGCCTTTCGCACAACCACCATAACGTCTTAGCTTATGCTTCCCAATGCATGAGTATCGGGTGTCACCACACGTAACTCAACCCGCCCTAGTTCCATTGATTAAATTGCCCCATCAGTTACGAAAAGAATCACAGCCAAAGGTCTTGTTGGACAGGAATGACATTCTGGGGAGAGAAGTTGCGGGGAAAACTTCACACTGTCCCGGAATATGTATTTTACAAAAGGCAAAGCCTGTCACTTCTCAAATGACAACCTGCTAGGAGCGTTGCGCACACCTGTACAGTTGATACGCACTAGAGGCGTTGCCCCCCCCAACGATGGTGAGGTTTATGACAGAGTCTGGAACCTGACAATGTTTACCAATTTGTTTCTGGGTTTGGTTTTACCAAAGGCTGTGTCACAAGCGTAAACGAAAATGCAGACAGCGTGTGATTTTTTTTTGCCCAGACCTGCTAATATGTGTCATCTTCAATATTGGTATGGAGTACCTTCAGGACAAAACACATTACTCAAACCCGCTTCTACTAACGCCTGAAACAAAATGCTACAGTTTGGATTTTGCGAGTCGTACACATTTGCATAACAAGTAATATCATGCACTGCTACTATTGTTCCCATTAAATTCAGTGTTAAATTTTTACATCTTTTCTGCAAATACATTTTATACAAATGGGCATATGATAATTCAACCAAAAATGACGATCTTTTTCTCAAAACAGACCGTAAAGCGAGAAAATGTTAAAATATTCTCTCTCACGTCAGCTTGGGAACCAAATTTCATATATACATACGACACTGGGCCTATTATGTGAGTATTTCTGATAAACATTTATATGTCACTATTCGCAACCAGAATTGTTTACGCCAAAATGATAAAATGTGTCTTGAAAAGTATCCTTTCAGACGCTTTCTTCAGTCTGATCCTCTAAAACTAAAATAGGAGTGTCAAGAAAAAGCCATCTGAATTTTGCTTCCACCTTTGACATTTTCAGTCACATTTCACTCTTTGCTTCCATAATCCGAAATTCTGAACCCGTAAACAGCAGATTGAAGTATTCTCCTTTCAAATGTAACTAGTTGAGATCACGAAATGGTAACAGACAAGAGGCGTAGGGCATCATTTCTCGACACGTTTGTCATCATACTATCTGTCACATTCTGTGAAGAAAACCATCATGCTCGCACCCTCCATTTCTAAAAAGGTTGTACTGAAACAAAGTGCCAGGTTTTGTTAAATTAATTGAAAAGAGCAAAGACCTACATATGGCTTGCATTGTGCAGCAACAAAAATGCAGACAGATAATGGCATTACTTTAAGTTGACATTTCAGGGCCGTGAGCTCGCTTGAAAGAGCTCAAGGGCAAAATTGTAGAGTAGCGTTCTCTTTATATCTGTAACACATTTTTTCACATCTACGGTAGATATCGTTTGGAAATATCTCCTAGGCAGCAGTCTGGCATCATTTTGCAACCATTTTTGCTCTTAACCAATTGAGTTCTCATGACCTTATAATTTAACCAAAGTTTTTTTTCTAAAACGACAATATTCCACAGCACGCCAGCTGCTTAAAAATCAAGACTGTATTCCTCTTTCGGTTGTGGATACCTCAACCCTCTTTTTACAGCCTACATCCGCCCTTCACCCTTTAGACCATGTGTTTTATGCTTACTTTGTTTGTCTCTGGTAGATCCTGTTGCAGATTTTTAATCAGCATCTCTAAGGTTCTCTGTCTCTTGTTGGAGAAGGTAGGCGTGTTGAAGGCAGCTTTCTCACCGTTGATAACTGCATCATAAAGAATCATGTTACAAACAGTCTGCTAACTCAAAACATGCTATGATATTTAAAATGCTTCATCTTTGTTTTAAAATGAGATGCATTCACTCATTACAAATATAAAAACAGTTGCGATACTGTTCGTTTCATTAGTAAAACTTCCTTTACGCAAAGAGTATATTACCTTCCAAAATATCAATTTTTGAAAGAAATTATACTATAATACTTTTCCAAAAAATACGTTTCAAAAGTCCTCACATTTACTTTGTGGGGGATAATAATCTATTGGAACAGGATTCCAGGAAAAAAAGAATACTGTACCCACGTTTGACAAGAAGAAAATCTCTGAATGCTTGTGGGTCGTCGAAAATGGAAGGAGAAGGCAGTGGTGGTCCGAACAAAGGCACTGATTCCTCGGAAAAGACCCGTAACCTAGCAACAGACATAGAGCTCACGGTTATACCAAAGGTGGGTCCCAGGACAATGCAAGGGAGGTATTAAGTGTTGGTAATCTCACGCACACGTCTCGTTAATTTTAACTGCCGCTGTGTAAAGTGTAATACATATATACGGACCGTTTTGACAGGAACATTTCCAAACCCTCTTTTCGCAAACAACGAGTAACATAATCCATAATTTGTTTCTGATTATCTGACTTGAATTATGCACTTACCTGTACGAATTACTTGACCTATTAAACGTTACTAGAGCAAATATATCTAATAAAATTAGTCAAGGACTGGTAGAATTAAGTTTTTAAAGTGCTGATTCACATTAACAAAATAACAAGATGGACCACCCTTTTCTGTTCAGGCTAACTTTAATTTGCACCCTTTGATGTAGATATTTGAACACACACCACCGCAAGTGTGGGGTCAAAAGGATACGGGTGAAATGCGATTTGATCATGGACGGCTTGAAGGTAGGCTCTGCTTCCGGGTCATCTTGTTCCTGAAAGACTATGGTCACGATGTCGTTACCAATATGGCGTTTTCTTTCAACCTAAACGTGGTGTAAAAAGTACCACTGAACATTTTAGCCAAAGGAGCACTGTCTCATGGAGATTAATGTGACTGTGGCAACGAGTAACCGTAGGCTGGCGTGGACTATTGGAGAAAAAATAGCCATATCCAAAAGCCATAACAAACGTTTAATCACAGACGCAAACGGGAAAATGGGAGATTGGACAGGTAGAAAATTCATCGAGTAAAACAAAACAAACAGAAGTTGTAACGCTGTAACCTTGATCGCTCCAAAGTAAAAGGGGTTAACTCTGATTTTACAATCCTTGTTTTAATATTTGGGTTTGCTAAGCAAATTGTTGCAGCTAACAAATGATTAACGTATTTTTGTTCCATTGACAGGGAAAACTGTTTCCAAGATTCAGTTCTTCAGAAAATCGATTAACAATGAAACTAGTTTTGCAAAGACATCTGAATGGCCCAATTGATCATCCTGTATTCCTGGCTTCTCTGAAAAACAGATGAATGCAGCTAGGTGGAAGGGGTTAATGTTGTTAGATGTATCAGCCTGTTTGGATGGGGTTCGTATCTTGAAGAGTGCGGTGCACCGTTCGTTGAAAGCTACCCACAATATGATGAAATTACCATCGATGATACTCTAGACCAGCGCGAGGCGTTTCTCCCGTACCACTCATGATTTCGTTAGCTTATCCAATACGATCGCTTTCCAATTCTCACGATAGGCTATTAACTCCGACATAGCAGAGCTATAGTTTTGTCTTTCCTTTTAGCGAATAACGCCCACGGATCAAAGACCCCATGTGCCCACGAAGGAGTTATCTGTTGCCATGGAAACTGGTGATTAGGTTCTTCATTCAGTCCAAACAGGGGTTGTTAATGTATTGTTTCTTCCCTGGTCGAAGTGGTTTGGAATTCCCCCGCCGCCCCTCGGATGGAAGAGCACAGACTCTAAGAAATGGCAATATACCTGGATATTGCCGTAAGACGGCGGTTGGCTGATTTTGTGCAGTTTATGGGCATTTTTTATTGAGCACTCTTTGTTAGCCTTGTCTCCTGGTTCCACTTCAATCCCCGCCAGATTCACTAGCTGAAATGAGTTTTCAGCTAATCCCTAGTGCCACGTGATTCTCGCTTACTAACTGAGCTCAAGGGATTTTCATCAAGCTCAAAAAACCTTGAAACATCTCCAAGCCGACCTATCAATTATGGAGCTCGTCCTCAAACGACAAAACGTGTTCTGACCAATCATCAACCGAGGTAAAAGCAAAAGATAAGATGTATTTATCGGAGGGGAACTTTGTTGAATAGAAAAACATGAAAATTTAAAGAACTACTAATTTAAGTTTTCTTCTAGATCCCTTATAGGATGAGATAACTTGTGTTTTAAGAAACAAAATCAAACACACAATTGCCCTTTTTTCTTAATATTGCGTGTAACACTGCCAAGAAGATTCTCACCTGTTGTCTGTTGTCTTTGGAGTATGGCAGCATCGTGGATACATGGAACATGATTTCGTGACCTTCGTACATCGTGTATACAGCCTCAAGACCTGTTGTATTGTCTGAAACCAAAGTCAAAGAAATGCGCAAGTGTAGTTGATGAAACAAGCATATCCCGTTGCCAAGACAACACAAAGCTAAAAAGTAACTCCTTCCGTTCGTTCAAATCCCTCTGAAACGCCAAGTTCAGAAGATCATGGTAGACGATTATGTGAAGGAATATGCTCCAATGCGTTGGCACCGTTTAGTGGTTTCACACTACATGTTAATTCCAATTGTGTAACAAACTTCATAGGTTAAAAACTAGTATGGTGATTCAACTTGTCAAAAAGGGTAAATTCTGGTTAAGCAATGGCTAAAGGTTTTGTCTTTAACTTACTCTTGACGTCTAGACCACCGTTAAACTTGTCCCAATTCTTTAACTTGATGCGGTCACCCAACAGTTTGACAAAGTTATAAAACTCTCCACTTCCATCCTCTGTAGGTAAACAAAAAATTGGTTCATTTTTTCTTAATATTTTTGTTCAAGTGATATTCACAAGGCAAAATATTTACGTCTAAATCTGCTTGATTTGTTAAGCTCCCAAATCGTTTTTTATCTGAGTTCTGAGATGACCATGAAGATGATATAAGTCAGGTCTACGTCTGTTTGAATAAAAGAGTAAAGAAAATCGTTCTGCTGAATAAAAGAAATTGAAACGAAGAAAACGACAGCAGCATAAGGAAGTTTAATGATTAGATTATGACCAAAAGAGTATACCATTGCTGAACATCTCGTCGTCTGATTTCTGTCCCTCTTTAGCATAAAGCACTCCAAATTTGAAGTTGACCGAACCTTCTTGCTCCTCAAGAAGAAGTAATTCCTAGAAGAATAAAAAAAACCAAATAAATGCAATAGTGCTACTCTTTAATGACAAGGAAACACTTGAAACTACAAGTTCAACTCCGCAGTGTTAAGCACACAATCTTATCCAAACATTATCCAGCGAAGATTCGAACTTCATTTCGAATGAATAGCATGGCCAATGCAGGAAACTGTCAATCCTAGTAAAAAAAAATTAATCACAACTGTCTCTAATAAAGTACTACACGTTCCTGAAATCCCGAGTTATATAAACAAAGCATGAGGCGACTGCGTATAGATCAAGGAAGACGATTCCATGTTCTGGGCGGGGAGGTCCAATCTAAACATGGCGTTCTGTCTCGGGCACTTCGATGAAATTTGACGTCGATTTTAATGGTATAACTGGCCTGGCCATGGCCTGCAGACTCGGCGATATCGTTTAAACAACTCGCACAGGAAATTCTTTTGAAAAAGAACGTAAATTCTCGCGAATGTATAGTTTCCACATTTAATAACACGCGTAGAAGGTCAAGTCCTTGTAGAAAAAAATGCATTAAAATATTTTTTCCCTACATTGAATATCTCCAGATGTTATCCGTGTCAAGCTCCATCAACCAAGTATAACTGAGATAATACCATCTGGTTTCAGTCTAACATTCTGACAGTTTACCTTCTGTATTCTGGAGTAAATATCTCTTTCGGGGACTTTTCCATTTTTATGTCGAACCGGCTGAAAATAGAAAAAAAAAGGAAAACATTTCACGACCAAGAAGCATGTACTTTGTATTGCGTTTCTTCAAATTGTATGAAGTCATAAAACAGTCCTGGGTGACTAAATACCTGAGAAGTTAAACGAATTCATTTCGAAGGATTCTCCCATTACTAATACTGTCCATGACTTCCTTGACAATATGTGCTATACCAAACGACGACATTCACCTTATTTTGATGATGCAATAGGTAGTTTTCTCTCAGGTGTATTCTTACAATTGGGTCATTAGGGAGACATTCTCTGGTAAATTTTTGGAGCTTAGGGAGACATCGCTAATTCTAATGCCCCAGCTATCAAATTTTGAGAGATGATAGATTTGGGTCTAAATTGAAAACATACAAAGCTTGGTTCAGATCAGATTAGGAAATATTTAATTATGGGACAGTAAAATTTGTGCACGTTCTTATAGAAATTTCTCCCAAGTGACCCATTTTCGGTAAGCAGTAATATAATAAGTATAACCAGCGACAAGTCCGTTCTGCAACTAAGCTGGGGCTTACTTAATGTAGGTGCATCAAAACCAAATTCTCCAGCAAGTGCATAAAAATGAGGTTACTAAATGGGTAAGCGTTCCCCACGCCCCCCGTGGCTACGCCACGGCTTCGGTTGCTAGAGGTAAAATGATTACAAACTAATGATTAAGTAAGTTTCTTTAGTAAGAAACTTAAAATGTGACAAGTGATATAGTAATGTTTCATGAATACCAGTTAGGCTACCAACTAGACTTATATTACTTATAGTAAGCGACAAAAGACCATTTTAGTAACCAACTTTGTAAAGTTTCACGAATACGGTCTTAGTTACTCACGCATGCAACTGCATTCTTCCAGTGTGTAATTAGTTTGCAAGGTCTTCAGAAAGGTTTCATGAATAAAAATTTAGTTGTTAACTCCATACTAGGCTACTAGGCATTTTAGTATCTTATTAAGGCCCAGATGGCTGGTACATTGGAGGGTTACATGAGTATGGCTTCCGGTTTGCAAAACCAGCATCAACGTCTAGACATCAATGGAGAAGGGATCCGAAAATGAAGCCTTTCGATGAGGTGAATGACCTTTTAGTTGCTGAACTCTGATCCCAAAGCAAGCAACTTCAGTAGGCTTACTTTGCCAAATGAAACACAAGCAATCGCTGTCAATGGCCACATAAAGGACACGCATGACACGACTTAAGATCTGTTATTACTTAGTTACGCTGAACGTCTGCGAGCTAGTAGCGTTATTTTGACAGTCCCAGTCAATTTTGACTTGCAAATTCGGACTCCTAACAACAATACATTACGGACGAGCAAGCTGCTGGTTTCCTCTCTTTTTTGATTTGGTTAAATCCTTTTTTTTTTTTCATTTCCAGGGCGCAATCCCTGAAGGAGGAGCATCTCTACGAACCTGTCAACTTTTCGATCAACACGAATAACAGCGTAAGAAGACGTCAGCGTGAGAAGGCCTACATGCATTGTGAAAGCACGTGAAAATTTTCCCGCAGGACACAAGACGACAAATTCCAGGGAAAACGCGACAATCTAATCTTGGAGTCGTGAGGGAGACCCGTTCACCTGAGTCTTGTCAAAGCTGAAGGATTTTTCCAAGTTTCAGGGGACTTGAGACCGTCTCTGTGATGAGCCGGTAGTGACTGCATCAATATCACATAGACATGCTTGCTACTGTACTACCATCAACTGCAACCAGTTAATTCGAACATAAGGCTTATTAAGTATGGATACAGAGCAACGAAGTGACCAAGTCATGCGCATTGTAAATTTTGTGTAAAAGACATAAGCACGAGAACCAGCACGTGAACCAACACGCACGTACAGTACATGTACTCCACTTGTTTGCGCTACACTTTCTGTTTCTAAACGACTTCACACTTCGGTACTCTGTAAACATTTCTTTGTTACGTCATAGAAGAAGTTTATTCCAGCCAGTGATTGGCAAACAATGACTGGTCAAATGCAGAAACAAGAAAATAATCCACAGAGTGTTAGGTAAACCCCTGCAGAATTCCGAACACTTAGCAATAAATACTGCTACTTAATTATGAATGAAATTTAAGTGTTCCCATCCAACACTACTGAAGTAAAACATGCGATTTTGTGCCAAATGAGCATTCGCTTCACGTTAGTTGAATTTCGCAAGCGGAATCATCAGATAGGAATTAACCATCCAGCAGTGTAATCTCAGGCAATCCAATCTGTAGTTTGTGGAGAATACTTGTTATCTGGCAAATGACTCTCCCGAAGAGTATCTCATTGCAGATTCGCTGAGCTGTTTTCCATCAAACCGGGCATTTCAGACGCCTGGATTTCACGGCGGTTCATTTTGCAGGTAATCACTCTGGCACCCGGCTTAACATACGTAAGACCAATGGTCGGATTGTGCAACTCCGTGGGGGGCGAGCCATTCGCTGGCACCGTGTGGGCGCTGATCGTGTACTCGTCAGAATCTAATCACAGGTTTGTAGTTCCAAACGTTTGGGTTACACCGGGAAGATGAAAATTCGAGGTAGGCGTGACCTCGACACCGCCAACACAACCTGGTCGAATGAAGTCTTCTAATAAGCCGAGAAACAAATTACTCGGGAAATCATATTGAATGAATCAACAACTCGTGCAAATACATTCCTAGTCCAGACGGCTTTCCATAATTCCCCTCTTAAGCTTCCAAGTTCCATATTTACTCAGCGAACAAACAAGCTCCGAGTCAAACAACGGTTAAGCTCCAACATCAATAATAGTCCAATGCATTTTGGGCCTTCAATAAGCAGTGGCATTTATTTCTATTTCCGTGTCTATTCACTGCCTGAAATTTCTCAACATCAGGTATCCAGTACGAACAAAGCCAAGCAGCTTGTCCCAGCCTATCGCGACATTTCAAATGTCATAAAGGTCAGGTGATTTGGTCCGATAATATGCATGCAATCTGCTGAACCTCTATTCAGCTTCTCATGACGCGACCACTTTGAAGGCACAAAACGTTGGAACCTATCACTTTCTTGGCATCTTTGACCCTCTGGTATCTTTGCTTTAACAGCCTGCGTATGCCACTTCCACGGCGGAGTAAGACTGTGGCACAATATTCTACTGAAATGACTAAAATCACAAATGAAATATCCGGCAACTTTGCACCTGCCTCCTGCTTCGCTACGCCATTTTGAAGGCTGTTATTGCTCGGCTGGCGTGAAATTAATAACAATTAAGTCGTGTCACTCAAGAGAAGAGAAGCGACCGTTTGAAGAGGGCCCACAACGTCTTGGATTTTTCTCATCAACCACCCTCTCAACATCTCATTGTGCATGTGCACTGTAAAAAGGTTGGTCAATTTTGGGTTGGTATTTTGCCCAATGTTGGTAAAAATATCAACTTAGCAACCTTTGGGCAGATTCTTCCCAATATCTGGTCAATATTTGACCAACAGTGATGTAGCTTTAACCAAGGTTGGGCAAATTAGAAATGCCCAACACTGTTTTGCCCAACTTTTTTTACAGTGTGTCCGACTACCTGTCGCCGCTAGGCTGGATGATGGAACTCTCAGTCGAAAACAGCAAGGACCCTTTACTCAAACACAGGAATGAAGGGTTAGTGTGTATTTCTGTGAGAAGGTCGATCACAAAATATTCCACCAATTTCATTGTAGTTTCAGAATTAGGTCCTCAAGTCCCTTACGTTTAATGCATGTGAAGACTGTCTTTTTGTCTAAAAATGCCTCATTACAACAATATGAGGCTGAAGGATTTGAGGAATGCCCTTACGTCTAAACATACCTCGTTACGATTTGAAGTTTCAAAGCCTTTTGATGAATGATATGAAGCTTATCGCGATTTGAGGTTTGAGGCATTTAAGGAAAGCCCTTTGGTCTCAAAATGCTTCTTAACAATTCCAGGTTTAAGGCTTGTGAGGAATGAACACACGGGCAATTCAGATCCACCGGGCACTTCATATATAGGATACAACTTCTGACACAAGAGACGATTTTTTTTTCAACAAGCCCCAAAGATGCCGTTACTTCCCAGGTTGCTTAAATACGACAGGACGAGTCCATACTAGCTAAACATTACGACTAGTAACTTTAAACGAAGCCAAAATACAGTGTAGCATAAAGAACACATTAGGCACGGTCCATCAATTTCGACATATTTTAAAAAGACGAAAGGATTTGGGCAAGAAGCGGAATAAATTTTCACCCAGTCATCTGTGACACAGCCTTCACTACACTTTAAAAGACTGGAAATTAATGCATCAAAAGATTCGACTTGGGGAAAGAATCACTCTTTGCAAGGAGAAAATATGAAAATAAAGATCGAGGCACCTGCTTCGTTGTACTTGTCTGACAGTTTTTTAAAAGTCGAGCGCGATCTACATACAGGAAACCCCACAAAATGCATCAGCACGACACGTTGCAAAAAGTGGAGTCCTCGCAGAATTAATGACAGGAATTACTCTCGCGGTTTTCAATCAATGTCGTTGGTCGAGAAACATGTTTGCAAAGTGACTCTATAACGTTCAGATTCGTAATGTTCAATAATGAATCGACTGACGACACCCAAATCGACGGGACTCAATAAATGCCACGATTAATGATTAATTACGACAAAGCGATTGATGCGAACGCTGGCTCCCTAAACCGTTCAAGAAAGATCGGCGTGGAGAGGGATCGTAGGGGTGAATTCATGTGCTTGTTTCGCTCCAAATTTTCAGCGTCAATCCCAACACTAATGTTCGAATGTTGCTAACGATTAGCATTGAGGTCCGTTTGGGTGGGAACAAAATTAACGCTGCCCAATCGGGCGCGCCATAGCGAACGGCTGTAATCTTACCTCAAGATTCTTTTGACTGACATAGGCTTGGCAGGGTTGTAGGGTATGCAGATTTTCTGAGTCCCCTAGACAGCAAAGAAAAAGAGGGACAGCGAGAGGGCAAACAAGATTAACGGGTACTGTTCATTATGTTGTCATGATACCTTTTGAGACCGGGTCGTTTGTTGAAAGAGCACAAGTTAAAATTGAACCTGAGAGAACCAAGATAACAAGATGTCACTTTTAGTGACGCTATAAGACTGATGTAGTTGAAATGCGAGAGGCGTTCCCTCGGTCAACAAAAAAATCAATGAATTTCAAATGTCCAGATCGTATTATTTTAAAACTGTTTTCGACAAAATTCTGTTCTAAATCAAACCAATATAATCAAACTGGTTTGCTAAATTTACGATATGTTTGTTTTGAAAAATATACTTTTTGGCAAAACTTTATCGAATGAATAGCTTTTTGCCTGAAAAGTCTGCCTCCTTTGACTTCTTCTAAGCAAAAGCTTTCTATAAGTTCCTTCGTAGTTAAAAAAGAAATCAACTATTGATCATCATTAAAATAAATTAGTTGTCGTATGACTATCACAACAAATTCAGCGCGAAGGACACGATCGGGCGGGTTGGCGATAAATTTATCGCCTCGCCGTGTGACCCCATACAACGACAAAACAACGCCACGACGGAGGCATTGCAGGGCACTAATGACGTCATCGATTACGGAAAGACTCACCGTGGTCCGCCATAAGATGGATCGGTACTGGGGCACGTTGTGATTGTTGGCGTCTGTCAAAACCACGGACAGGAACACGATTCTCTTATCCATATCCAGACCCACGTAGTTCTGATGAACTGATTAAGAAACACAATATATGCCTACAGTAAGAAAACAGAACTGACGTAAAGGATAATGCAAAACCCCAAAATGAATAAATCAAGAGAGATAAAAAGATAAAACCGCCAGACGTATCATTAATTAACCCATTATGACTAAACTTGAATCAGTCGCCCTAGGTATAAAATGCATCCAAACAGCTTCCCAAAGTGCAATAAATAAAGTTTAAATAATTATGTAACTATGCCAGTCACGAAGAAAGCATGACAGTCGGCGGCCTCGAGAGACAGACAGAGAGCGCAGCACGGGTACAACGAACAGACAAACAAGCTCACACAACAGCAACGAAGCATCTATAACGTAGTGGCAGTATAAAAAAGAGGTATAAGTTGTTACACAAATCACAACCAAGGAATATGTTTCGAAATTGACTTCCAATAACACTCGCAAAACACCGACAAATTCCCCGTAGGGTCCAAGCATAGGGCCTAGACATCACGAGCAAGCTGAGCTTAAAATAACACATTAAGCGGTCGATTATGGGTAATACCTGGGGGGGGGGGTTAAAAGACAGACACAATAGAAAAAGTACCTGTAAAATGACAGTCACTTTGGGAATACACATTCGGCAGGTTTCATTCATCAAACAAGAAAGGAAATGAATCTTCTGCCTCTGGGCAAACTAATCATGTACGACCCCTGTCTCATTTTCAGGTACAAACGTCATGTTCAAATTATAAAGAAAACATAATTTTTCCCAATATATTGAGCCAGTCACGCAGTCTGCACTAGTTGGGAATTTTTTTCCAACAGCAAAGCAGCGAACCGGGTTCAATGCCAGACAGGCCGCGGGGCCGGGCAATTAATATCCTTTATTGCATTGGAAGGAGCATAGCGCTTCATCGACCATGCGGATAACCCGATGGGAAAGGCTCGAAAATAATCAGTCGACTTCTTGTGGCCAGTGTTTATTGCGACGAAGTTCGGTTGCCATGGAGACCAGGCGGTAGAAACGCCACAGGCACGTGTGTGGAGGCGCCGTGGCTTTGTGTGCTCTGTAGAATGTGAACTTACGACCAGCTGTTGATATCTCAGCCGTCAGAGGGTGCGAATCCAGCCCGTGGGATTGTATGCTTTACTTCATCATAGAGGAGAAGACTCAAATAAGAGAACACACGTTCTTTCCTGTCTATCTTCGGTGGCTAGTCTTTTGTCTTCGGTGACAGGTGCCTAGTCTATTGATGAGGAAGTTACGGGCATTATACAAAACACCACGCCCTATCTTCTGCAGTAAGGTAAAGCATAACTGCGCGTGTCCCCAAGCAAGACACTTTTTTGACTTTGTACACTCTGCAGTGAGGAGTAACAGGTGGAAGTGAGGGCAGAGATGTACAACTGCGTACGTCACAGTGGCGGCATGGGGAGTTCCCCCACCCACTTCCGCAAGCTGAGATGACCTCATTGACTTCGGTGTGTCACTGACCAGATGACAAAAGGTGACGAAGACCTATTTCCCCAAGCATCGGTACTGGCATCAGATACTTTGCGCTTAAAAATACACATCGTTTAGTAGATACTGTTTTATGTGATGGCCTACTGCGGTGGGGCATGTTTACGGGGAGAGTCTGCAGCCCATTGAACGTTCAGGAGCACTGCTTTGGAGAGAGAACCACGAATGTCAAATTAGCATGGACAATTAGGCCTATTCCAGGCTTTTCCTCCCACCTCTAAAGCTGGAAATTTCTTCTTTATCCTCTCTCCCTCTAGGTTTTCTCAGATATCCAGGCTAAAGTGCCTGTGCAACTTTCAGGAAACCGCGGCTTTATTATTAAAAAGAAACAATGAAGATAAAATCAACCATTGCAACAGTCGAAGATTTGTTTTTCTTTTTTTTTCAATTTAAAGTTGGCCTGGCTGAATCACGGAAGCACCTGCGCTCTCATGCTCAGTGAAACAAACCAAAAAACAAACAAACAAACACATCAACAAATAAACAAACAAAAAAACACAGCACAAAAACAAATAAAGTAGCCAAAAGACAATAAAACCTGAACATTTACGATTTACTTTAGGCTTTCAGCACTAGAGACGCGACTCCAAAATCAAATCGGAAAACCAACCCCTGTTAGTCTAACACCTATTAACCTGTGACATTTTGTCAACTAGGTAAAAATGGTTGGTCTGGATTACTTCACTCTGGCTAAATCAATTAAATACAAATAGCTGAGCGGCAACTTGAAGTGTTGGCCAATATCCCTTCTGGTCGTTTCATCAATAAACCAGCTGGTCCGATAACACTCTGGCATAACTCTCTAGACACAGTGGGAAATTTCTATGGAAAAGTGTTTCTGAAGCTAATTATTAATTATTTATCAATAGTATAGACATTCCCATTGGTACAAATAACCGAGTTGTGTTCAATAATCTTTCCTGTTTTGGTAAATAAAAGTAAAATCTATTTGGAGGTGATCCTTTAATGGTCATTTTCTCGGTGTATGAAGTCACGTGCTGTATTGTTCTCATAAGCAAGACGTTTTATCTCAATTGCACGTACCCGGGAGAAATGAGCACTTTATATTGAAATGAAACTACTTGCATTTTTGACAAAAAATTTAAGGGATTGGCAATGCTCTTGTTCTCTCGATGGTCGGGGAAGTCAAACAGTACTGCTCAGAATACTGTCTTCCTTTATAAATTCAACACAGAGTTAACAAGTTACTCCGGAGGAAAGAAGAAAGAACGTCGCCAGAAACCAAATTTCAGAAATAGGTACGCAATGGAATCATATTTCAAACTATTGCGTTTGGTATTGGAAAAATATATCACTAAAAATCCATTTCAGTGTCAGTTGGAGAGATATAGAAGTCTAAATACACCGATCTTGTTTCATGACGTTTATTGATACAACATAATCATATCACAATCACACTCTGGGTGTCATGTTTTTCCCCGCCGCGCGTTCTTCACCTTAGCGTTACTTGCCGGCGGGCATTTTTACACAATTCCTGTCTTCACAACACTTGGGAGGGACATTGCTGGGGAAAAACAGAAAGGAAGAAATCTGTGAAGGTTTCCATGTGGCGCTGACCAGTCCCAAGCTCTGACGAGAAGATCAGCGTACAGGCAGTTTGGACAATGAATTCGTGTACGACACTTACTTTTGCCCAGGAAGTATTTGAAATACCATCTCGTCTGATACTCAGGATTTTCCAAGTGAACGTCAGTTCCCGTGGCAAGATTGGACATCTGGGGGCAAAAGAGGAATCGGATAGGATTGGATTAGTCCGACGAGACACGGAGGTCTTTGATTTCCTGTGGATATACGTGTACTCCCATGGGTATGAAGAGAAAGAACTTTGATTTAATTAAAACGGATGCCATATGCCTGGCAGGAAGGAAAATTAAAAGCAACAGTAAGGGTCCATACTTTGGTACCATATAGATTTGTTTAGTATTGAATATTCAATATGCTCTAATCATATTTACAATACGGACACTGTTGCTATTGTGTACGGATATTTTGATAGCAAATGTACGTACTTTTTGTACATTTTATTATGCAACACAACAGGTCAATAACACCATATACCAATTCGCACCTGCAGCTGTACACGACATGTAGCTTCAAAATGGTAAGATAACTTCCTGCATTTTCCTTGTTTAAATATTTAACTAGTGCTGGATATACACAGAACATGCGCCTCAACCGTGCCACAGTATGTCACTACAGCTGTCTTGAGTAATTTCAGGACGACATTTTTCTTTAATTATTCATTCTAGACGCGAGCTCAGCTGTTATAGATAGTGACGCCAGTGCTTAATTGTAAAAAGGGTCGAGGTACTCATCAATTTTTGAACAATTCTCTTCTGTAGCGGTAGCCGTCTTTATACATTTAACACGTTTAAACCGCCTTCCGGGAATTTGGTTCCGCAGTTCTGTTTCAGCCAGTCACTGTTGGTTTGTCGTGGATTACTCCTGCAGGGTATCAAGTCGACTTTCATTTTCAAGAATGAAGTATAACTGTGCCACATAATTGTGACTGTTTTCGAATAGAAACCGAAAGTTTTCCATGAGTATTTGACCCAGAAACCGTGACGGACATGTTAACTTGTCGCCCAAACGTCCGACTTGAGTTCAATCCACAGTAATTGATGGTCACGGTACTGCTGTTGAGCAAGCATTACATTTGCATTCACGCCTTAAGGCCGTTATCGTACTAAAGAGCTCTGGAAGGGCCATACGACTTGTTGAGATCCTGACATTTGTTTTCCGGAAGACGACAAAATAAAGGCAAGATGTCGACATCCTGAGATAATTTATCACGGGATAACGATACCATAAAAGTTGGATGATGACATCCTCAGATAATGAAGATAATCATTATAGCTCAGGCTGTTATCAGCCAGAGACATCAACCAAGTGTGACGTCTACTTCACTACTTGTAACAGACGGGGAGACATCACGACGTTTTATCAATTTAATTAATATCATGTATGGCAACAGAAGGGAAATGCTTTGAAAAACAATGGCATTTCAGGCCACCTGTTCTCAAGGTGGTTTGTCATGGCACTCATTGAGAAATGAAGTCATCATATCACTTTTATGATGTCGTCATCCCCTAATAAATTAAGTCGGGATGTCGTCATCCTAGTTTTTTTTTGGGGGGGATATCGTCATCCCATGATAAAGTAACTCGGGATGTTTTCATCTCCATTCCAGGGTGTCTTCATTCTGCGATAAAACATCTCATGGTGTCGCCATATTGCCCATCATCCTGAGATTACATATGTCATGGTCTCCACAAGAAGGACGGCACTTCCAGAGCTCCTTAGTTATCGGTTTTACGGTGACCTGTTTGGTATAAATTCTGAGCCCAAGTTGGTACAGTCACACAGTGTCTGTTGCTGCTTACAATGATACCTAATTGACAGTTTCAATGGCTGTAAGGAGGCCCCTTGGGGCGAGTACTAACTAGGAAGTGAAAGTGCTCCAACTCCTCTGATA